ATCAGATTTCAGTATGAGTTCTTGGTCTTTGCCATTGCTTTGCGATCATACGGTTGAGTGGCATGGTGTGATGTCCGCTCCCGTACAGAGACTTTCCATTGTGTCTCATTTCCTTCTATTACGATAGCATACAGTCCTTACAGACACCTAATAGCTCATCACCTCAGAGGTCCTCAATTTGACACATAATACTAGCTCCTCAACCAGAGCCTGCCTCACATTCTCGCCTCTGTTTGCCAAGGTTATTGTTAGCTCTCTTTACTAAAAACTAGTATACTACTAAAAGTAACTATAAGTTATATTACTACTACTGTCTAGCTTAAGTAAAGTATAAGTAGCTAAAATTTTTACTTAAATATTCTTACTTATATAAACTACTATAAATATAACTATTATAGTATATTAAAATTAGCTTTTTTATATAAACTTAGACTAACTTAAGTAAAACTTACTTTATAATAGCTATATAATAGTGTAAATTATATAAGCTAAAGCTAAGTTTTAATATACTTACTATAATAATACTATTTACTAGTACTACTATATAAGCTAAGAACTTAATTTTAAGTAATTTAATAGAACTTAAATAAAATATTTTTATACTACTAACTTTACTTTTAATTACTTTATATAACTTTTTTATATAAACTTAGTTATATACTATTTATAAGTACTATTATTTACGCTAAAAAATACTTAAAGAGCGTTATAAGCGTAAAAGTAAAATAAAAGTATAATTTTATTTATTTAGTAAATAAAATTTTATAAAAAAGCTTATAAGTAAGTTAAAAGTAATAGAAGAGACTATTAAAGGCTTATAAGTATATTTAATTAATAACCTTAGCCCTAGCTTTGCTTAAAATATTTTTCGTGTAATTAAAACCGCTTGTTCGTGGCATTCGTTGATATGATGCACACGTTGCTGATGTGAGGAAAACCAATGATGCCTCTTGCTAGTCGAGGGGTCATCTTCCGGCGCCCTGCCAAGAAATTTGGCGCGTCTGCCTAGCCCGCTCCTTCGACATACGCGGAACACTTCGCGAACTCAGCCACCAAGCCTCGACGCCCTTTGCCCTTTCCCCTGCTGATCCTTCAATATGTATATCGTACATTCCGTCTATCTACGATCGAACAAAAGCCCGAACTCATCCTTCCACCACGCCACGTATCGCGACACATCCTGTCTACAAGACTCCTGCTTTCCCGCATGTTGAAGAGTCGATACAGCGCGTTCTTTTCCTTTTGTATACATAGCAAAACATGGTCAGTCGGGGTGGTCGATCAAAAGGTTGTGCTAATTGCCGTCGCCGGCGTGTGAAATGCGGTATGTCCATTCACCTGGTCAACCTTTGCTGAGACCTGCTGCATGTGCTGACGTGACAAGACGAAAACCGCCCTGAATGTGGACAATGCATCAAGCGTGGACTCAAATGTGAAGGGCCCAAAGACCTTACTTGGATCAATGAGAGTGTCACCTTTGAAAGCAAGCCGGCAAACACAACCCAGAACGCAATCGTCAGGATAGCTACTCCAAACCAGCTATCTCTCGCAGCCTTCGAAGATGATATCTGCTTAGCATATACGCGAAAGAACTTGCTACGCGGGGGACCTGTTGAGATAGCCTGCAACATGATCGAGAGCCATGCCGCGTCCATGCGAGGCGACGATCCTGGTCTTGATCTATTGCGAAAAGGCATAGTGAGCCTGTCTACCACCTTCTTCGGTAGCCAGCATCGACAGGGAAACATCACGACCAAAGGCTATCAACAGTATGGTCAGGTGTTGCGGCAGCTCAATTCGCATCTTGCTCGTACAGAGCTTCAGACGACGAACGAAACACTACTTACCTCACTGTCTTGTATGCTTCTCGAGATCTTTTTACCTACTGGATCAACGAACTTTCTGAAACACCTGCGAGGTCTCGACGCCATTGCGATGCTAAGAGGCCCACCCAAGGAGTCTGAAGGTATCAACGCTATCATCTTTCGGGGCCTGCGCATCCTTTCCATCGTTGGGGCACTTGCGGAATCCAGGCCCTCTATATACGCGACCGAGGAATGGAAGCGAATTCCGTCTGCACATTCCAATGAGTCGGGACTCTTCCAACACCACGTTTTCTCCATCTTGGCTGACTGCACCCGTCTCATCAGCCAGCGGAATGCTCTACTGCGCTCAAAAGCATGTTCAGAGAGCTTTGATTCCTTGCTTACCGAAGTGGAGGATGTGCTTAACAGTTTGGAAGGGCTACACCCGTTCTGGGAGGTCTTGAACCGGAACCAACTAGCTGGAACGGCTGAGCGATCTGACATGGCGAAGACACTAGGAGTGGCCAACCATGTTTCTGCAACAGCATTGATGCTTTACAACACCGCATACATATGCGTCATTCAGATCAAAGATTCATTGTCTCCATCGCCTGTCAACACCGCACTGCGAAACGCCGCCGCGATGAAAATCGCCAAATGCCTGGAGTTGAAAGAGTACGAGCAGCGGGAAGGTGCACCGCAATCCAATACCATAGCCTTTGTAGCTATCAAGGTAGCCTGGCAAGCTTTGGGTGGGTTCAACTCACCGGAAGGGCAGCGCTTAGCACATACTGTCAAGTCTGCCACCAATTCCGTCTTCGCACGAGCACCTATTCTTTCTGACGCGTCGCACTTTGCCCATTATGTTGAAGAGTCGCTATTCTCCAAATTCCTTGGTAGGATACCTCTTGTAGCACCGGATGGCGCAGCGTGTGTTGGCAACGAATTCGGTTTGTGGCCTGATGGGCCTCCAGGGGTCATCGAGTTCAGCATGCAACAGCTAAGCACGCCCTCCGAGTTCTTTTCAGAGACCACAATCGCGCCGCTCTAGTGTGGCGCAGCTACTGTATGTAAGCGGTACGAGATTAGCAGCGGTCGACAGGAATCCCTCCTTAGGATGCGATGTCGCAGTACATTACACGGACACGCCACTCCTAATCTACATCAGAAGACTTCTTCCACCGCCTTCTGGACCTCTATATTAATTTCGCGGATTGTCACGCGGCTCCACATGGCGTGTTTCCAAGCTTCCCCGGATTTAGACATTAGCCGGCGGGAATCTGAGAAATGAAACGCGGCGAATTTACATCTGAACGCGCTCCGGGCGAACGGCGCATCCTCATTGATGTGATGTCGATCCAAGAGGATCTTGAGCGATGTTCAACACAGACGGCTGTGGTTCTCTGGGTGTTCGCATTGACACAGAGTTCATGCCTCACTTCGCTTGGCCAAAACGGCGACACACTGACAGGCGTCACCAAACATCCGAGCTTCTACTATAGCAACTACCGGACAGGGTTTCTCGCCGCCTCCGATGACCCGGTTCAAGCAGTTTAAGCATGTCGTCTACCATAAACGAGCCAAGAGCCCCTAAGCTTCACGGGAATGACCTCAGGACAGCGGGCGGGGCCTTGGCGTTTATACATAAGATGGAGGGCATTGGCCTACAATGTGGGCAGTTCGAAACATCAGTCGTTCAAACAGTCGTTCTTCTATCAACATGGGTGTCAAGTCTTTCATTGTCGCGGCCTTTACTGCGGTTGCCATCGCTGGACCGATTCCCGAACCTCTCGACATGATGAAGCGGGCTGGGCCTGCTGCCGGACAAGTCATCACCAAGTGCGCCAACCCTGGTCAAATCGCACTTGCCTACGATGACGGCCCATCGCAATACACTCAGAAGCTCGTCGACACCCTGACTGCTGGTGGAGCTAAGGGTACTTTCTTCGTCACTGGATCGCTCTACGGTATGTATATGCTTCATTTACTACGAGCTGAAACCACCATCTAACATAAACAGGCTGCATCTACAACCAAAAGACCGCCCTCCAAAACGCGCACAAAGCCGGCCACCAGATCGCGTCCCACACCTGGTCCCACCCATCGAACTTCGGTTCCCTCTCCACCAACGACCTGACGTCGCAAATGACGCGCCTCGAGCAAGCCCTCGTCAACATCATCGGCGTTAAGCCCACCTACATGCGCCCGCCTTACCTCGCCACCGGCGGCAACGTGCTCCCTACGATGAAGACCCTCGGCTACCGTGTCATCACCGACGACGTCGACTCCGGTGACTGGAACGGCAAGACGCCCCAGCAGAGCCAGCAGGTGTTCCAACAGGCTGGTACCAGTGGCAACGGCCACATTCCTCTCATGCACGAGACTTATGCCAGCACGGTTAACACGCTCACCCCGTGGTTGATTAACTGGGCGAAGAACAATGGGCTTAAGATGGTTACTGTTGCTGAGTGCCTCGGTGATGCTCAGGGCGCGTATAAGAGTGGTACGCCTAACGGTCAGGGAACCTGCTAGGCTCGTTGATACGGGGATGAATCGAAGCTATCGTGCTGCATGTTTCGATCACATTGCTCGATGCGGAAGGAATGGCCAGTACATGGCGATGTTGGTGAACTTTGATTAGTGTACATATTTACTTCTAGAAAGACTCTTTTGCGAGAACAGGATTACTGCTTCAACCACATGTTTATGATCTTGCCCAGGTAAGCTTCGTGTTTGACAGATCACGTGCCCTGACGGTGCCTTCCAACGTTCCTTCCCTCGGTAAGTAGGTGCGTCATCGCTCTCCGTGCATCCTCTTCCCCCCACCAACGAGTGTGACTTCATCGACGAACGATCATTATGCCTTCATATGTTCCGGATGTTGCATACGCTCCCATCTTCCCGATTGCTCCTCCGGTGCTGCGAAACGCGCTTCCATATGGCTTTGAACGCACTGCACAGCCTGATGTCTCTCGCCATGCGCGGCATGATGTTCAGCAAACCTCACTTTGCCTCTATTACCTACATCCTCCAGTATCATCATCTTGTTCCGGCTCACTCACCCTCACCTTGGACTCTCTCACCCATTAGCGCCCTTGCCGAAGTTGGGCTCTGGATGGCTTCATGCCTGGTATATTATGCCTCCTTCCTCCTACAGCTTCCCTAATCTACTCACTCTTCATCGACTTGCCCATCATGGATTTGTTGGACCTACCGCCTGAAATATTTCAGAAGATCATCGCAAGTTATGTTCACACCGTCGGGATCTGCAAGGCTTGGGAGCGCCGCAAGGTCTGCAGTAAGTGTTATCGTTGCGCACTTTCAGCACAGGCTCACCTTTTTTAGAAACATTCGCTGCCTTCATCTCCGCAGAGTGCTTTGGCAGGCAGCCTATGAACAAATACGTGCATCCACCAGCAAAGAAACTGTTCTTGCAACACCTCGGTCTATATCTTGGGTACCGAATTGAAGCCGCAAATGGAGCACCAACACTATTGCCTACTCTTATTCGCAAAGTGATTGACCAGTTCATGACCGTCACCAATCAAACATCGGATGTCGTCCGTGCCTCCTACACGCAAAAAGTCTGCGACACCATCAAGTACTGCAGCCCTACCGCCTACACCCTTGCGACAGCACCCACCGTCTTGACATGCAACAACGTCGCCAGCGACTCACTCGACACATGTTGCTTAGTCATTGCGACAGCGATAAAAGACAACCAACTTGTCGATTATTACCTCTCTCATGGTGTCTCTGTGTGGAGCACGACGCGCGCCTTCTACCCGCCCATTACCGTTGCTGCGGTGATTCAATCTGTCGAGTTGGTATCTCAGTTCCTGGAGCAAGCAGAGAGCGGTCTTGCGAAAACAAAGAAAGCCAAGGCGAAGGGGATACTGGCCAAGTGCATGGCCATCGTTACTACTGGAACAAAAGGCTGGGAAGTGGCCATCGTGCTGACAGACTGGTGGTATCAGCATCTTCCTAAACCAGAACCAGGAAGAATCCTTCAATGGATCTATCGAGCTGTGGAATCTTGTGCGGCCGAATTTCTTCATCATATCCTCGACCACGGTATCACCCTGACAATGAAAGCCGACCTAGTACGACGCGTCTATCAAACACATTTTAGGGCCGAAGCCCAGGACCTTCTCGCTGGGGCTTTGATTGATCGAGGTATTCTGGACGTGTCGAAATTTCATCATGACGCGAGAGATTTCTCCGGCTCTCTTTTGGCCCTAGCTGTTAAGGAGTCCAACATCCCACTTGCTAGAAGATACTTGGACTCTAGTCTGGGCCGCAACGGCTTGCGAAATCGAAAGGGCGAATACGAATTTCCGCTGATCCGTGCCGTGGAAAAGGCCGACGATGATATGGTCAAGCTTCTACTGGAATATGGCACCGATCCATCCCCAGCGCTATGTTGGATTCGCTTAGGAGCTATCATACTTGATCGGGAGACCGAGCAAAGGTTCAAGGCATTGCTAAGCGCCGCGACATATGACGCAAGAAAGGAATGGCGTCGCGATCGCTAGTATTGTGCGACGATGTCTCCATGACTCGTGTCCAGTACACTCGGCGTCAGACTCCTAAGACGGGTTGTCGGAAGCATACGAGTTGATGGATGTCTTCCACAAAAGCTTCTTCTTTCCTGTATGCTTTTTGCTTTACTCAGCTCATGGCGTTCAATTCCAGGTCACCAGAACCACGAAGCAGATGGACTTCATAAAAGCACTTGCTGTCTGATTTTCTTTGTCTATGCGCAGTGGGCTTCATAGCTCACTCTACATAGCCTTTATCATTTCAATATACGATTGCACTCCAATGGAGCTGAGCTACCAATTTCGCTGCTGTGACTCACAGACCAGTAATAGCACCCCGCTCAAGGACAAAACTAAACACCGTGAAGTCTCTAACAAGCCTACGTCTTCTCATGCGCGTGTCGTTGGCCTATTGTAGGCTACATGATGCAGGCCTGATCAACTCCCTCTTTGCATGAGGTGACAGACTACCTGAAGTCCAGGACGCATATCGACAACGAGAGTTCACACACGCATCACACCAAGTTATAGTAAGCAAATTTTTTGAACTTTACAATGGATATTTCTGTCGCCGGCCAACTCTTGCGAACCAGGCGAACAATACTGTTACAAAGCCAATGCGCACTTGTCTATGCTACAAAAGCCACGACACCATACGCATGCTTCCGTCTAGAGTGGAATGAAACCCTTTGAATCATCGCCAAGCACTCCTCCATGTCATAAACCATGCCACAATCAATGCACCTTGGAAAGTAAAAAAGAGATCAATAAAACTACATCTTCAGCCACTCTCACCTCCTGGCGTCCAGGTCCTTGAAAGTCGCTGGGCTGGGAGGAACCAATGGGCCCTTGACACCATCGTTGCCCTGCGGCTCGATGTATCCAGGCGCCTTGCCGTACTCGCCGGAGAAGTACTTGTGGAAATCTTGGCTGTCCTCGAAGGGACGGGGTCCGAGTAGCCTGATCATGTCTTCGCGGCCGAGCATCTCCTTCTTGAGAAGCTCCTCTGCTACGAGGCCGACTTCGTGCTTCTTCTCGGTGAGGAGGTCCTTGCATTGCTTGTAGGCTTCGTCGACGATGCGCTTGACCTCCATGTCGATGTTCTTGGCAGTATCTTCGGAGAAGGGCTTGGTGAGTTGTTGGCCCTCGCCGTCTTCGAAGTAGATGTATCCGATCTTCTTGCTCATGCCCCACTTGCTGACCATGGCGGTGGCCATGGCGGTCACCTTGCGGAAGTCGTCGGATGCGCCCGAGGTGACGGTGTCGAAGTGGAGCTCTTCGGATACACGGCCTCCTAGAGTCATGGCCATGCGGTCCATCAGCTGGTTGACGTTCATGAGGTATGTGTCGCCGTTGGGGAGGTACTGGGCGTATCCAAGAGCGCCTTGGCCACGGGGAATGATGGAGACCTTCAGGAGAGGGTCGGCCCACTTGAAGTACCAGCCGCAGATAGCGTGGCCGGCCTCGTGGTAGGCGACGGTCTTCTTCTCCTCGGGCTTCAGGACAAGGGACTTCTTCTCGAGACCTCCGATGACACGCTCGATGGCTTGCTCGAAGTGTACCATGGCAACAGTCTCGGCATTAGCACGGGCGGCTGCAAGTTGTTAGTGCATGTGCAGTCAAGAGGGTCATAAATACGTACCGATCAGAGCAGCTTCGTTAACACAGTTGGCAATGTCGGCACCGGAAAAGCCCGGCGTCAAAGCTGCTAGCCTGCCCTTCAAGAACTCCATGTCCTCGTTGGTGACGATCTTCGCCAGATGAACACCGAAAATCTGTCCTCGTCCGTCCATGGTGGGCTTGTCGATGCTGATGTGCCTGTCGAAACGACCAGGTCTCATAAGCGCTTTGTCCAATACGTCGGGTCGGTTAGTACCAGCCAACACAACGACTTGCTCAGTGGTGTTGAATCCGTCCATCTCTGTCAGGATCTGGTTGAGAGTAGCCTCGCGCTCGTCGTTGCCACCGCCGAAGTTCTGCTTCGATCGGGCACGACCAATAGCGTCAATTTCGTCAATGAAGATGATGCAAGGCGTGCTCTTGCGCGCATTGGCGAACAAGTCGCGGACACGCGATGCACCAACACCGACGAACATCTCGACGAACTCAGAACCACTGACACTGAAGAACGGGACGCCCGACTCTCCTGCGGTCGCCTTGGCAAGAAGCGTCTTACCAGTACCGGGGGATCCAGATAGAATAGCACCACGAGGGATCTTGGCGCCGAGCTTCTGGAATCGACTTGGGTCTTTGAGGAAAGAGACGAACTCCATGATCTCTAGCTTGGCCTCGTCCATACCGGCGACATCTGAGAACTTGACCTTGACATCCGTCTCGTGGTTGAACTTCTTGGCGCGACTCTTACCCATGCCGAACACACCACCGCCTCCGCCAGCGCCGCCTCCCGCACGTCTGGTGAAGTAGAAGAGCGCACCAAGGACGAGGATGGTGGGACCGAAGGACAAGAAGGTGCCGAACCAGGAGATCTCGCTCGAGTATGCCACTGGTATGCGTTCGGAGCTTGGGATGCCCAGCTCATACTGCGCGTCGTCCATCTTGCGCTCAAAGGCCTCGACGGAACCGATTGTGAAGTAGTAGTAGAAGTTCTGGTTGACGGAAGGCGAGTCGGGATACATGGACGATACGGCCTCGCGGTGCAGGTAGACCTTCGCTCTGTTGCCGTTCAGAATGACGATCTTCTCGACCAAACCCTTGTCCAGGAAGGTCGTTCGGAACTCCTGCCATGTTATTTCCTTGGAGTTCTCGCTCGGGAAGATGGTCTTGTATGTGAGGTATGCGAGGAAGGCGCTGATGAGGATCGTGTTGGTGTCCATACCGCCGCCGAACATGGGCCCCACTGGTCCACCAGCTCCGCCAGCGCCACCCTTGGATCCCTTGCCTGGGCCCGGGTCATGTGCGCCCGACTTCTGCTGTGGTTCCTCGGAGCCGTCCTTGAACTTCTGCTGATGTTGGTCCGCCGCCTTGCGTGCCATGTTGGTTGTTAACCGCGAGATCTTGGCCGCGGTGGCCAGGTCCAGCTTCTCGCCTCTCTCCAGCTTGTCCATCTCCTGTCGCAGCTCTGGTGGTATTCCAGTGCGCTTAATCTCGTCCATTGCTTCCTTGATGTTCTGCTTCTGTGACTTGGGGACGCCCATGGACACGAATGAGACTAGTTGATCCAGCATCTTCTCCTCCTCTGGCGTAAGTTTGGACATTTGAGGCTCTCCCTCCTTCTTTCCAGACAATCTGAACTCAGGCTTGTGAGGCGTGCCGTCCTTCTTCGCTGGCTCGTCATCCTTCTTCTCCTTGGGCTCCTCCGGGGGCCCGGTCGCAAATCTCCGCACTCGTTGCTGGGTATATATACATTGTGGTATCGGTGCTCGTGTGCGTAATGTGCGTGGTGCCCTCGTGGCAGCGTTGAGGCAGGGTCGGGATAGGCGCGCTAGGTTGCCTGAGCGGCGGAGGAGTGTCGACATGGCGGCGGAACAGAGGTGCCGGGACTGCGGGGTGGGGTATAATATAACAATGGAAGGGGGTGTGTGACAAGTAAAGAAGAGTGACTGTATTACCGCGCCTGTTCACTGCCTCGGGCTGGCAGTAGAAGAATGTCTTGTGGCGGGTGCGCTTCGATGGCGAAAGCTAGGATATGACAGAATCATCGAAGTTCTACCCATGCCACCGACACGCCGACTGCCTTACTAAGCGGGGCTGCCTGCCCGCATTACGCGTGAACATGTGCCAGAGTCTAGAACCACGCCTTGACTCGACTGTTTCTTTTGCTTTTGATCCTCTTATATTTTCGCCTCAATGCTCTGCAAGAACATGCGGTACGTGTAGACACCAATTGCCTCCGATTAGAGTAGGTTCCCTGCCTCGGTCCGACCGCCACGCGTATTCATCTCCATGACCAAGAGACGCGCAAGTAGGAATTCAATTGATGAAACAGTAAAGTCTCTGATCAGCGCACTACAATACATGTGACATCCAGATCTCATGTAAAGTTCGCACCCGAACAACTCCGTCAAACCACTGCATGTAGATCATGCAGGTGCACGATACATGCACCGACCGACTAGTTCCATCATCCATCCTGGTCCGGGGCGATTACCATGGGTCGTCAGCCCGCAGCTATAGCGCACGAAAGTACCAACCTTATTCACACGCAGTCAGCGCCATGTTTATTCATCCGGGCCGGTATAATAGATACTTAAGGTCTTCGAACTGCCAAAGACTTCCATTTCCCAATCAATCCCACCATAGCAATGCGTCACTCTGTCATAGCCTTCGCTGCGCTCACGTTCTCCTCTCTCATATCCGCACAAGCACCCAATGCTTCAGACGCTACCTACCTGACTGCACCTGCTTTAGTCACCACAACTGAGAACACCACCACCATTCAATGCTGGCGCCTGAAATACCCTTTCACAGTATCTACAACAGCAGGGACCGCGGGAAGCCGTGCCATAGCATTAGGCAATGTGACGAGTCTAGGCTATGTCATCCAGCCACCGCGATTTGACGGCGGATTGCATAATGCGCCTACAACACAGTGAGTAGATTGGCTGTACGCTGAGCTGCGCTGACACTTTCAAGAATCGTACACTTCCTATCTGGACTCGCGCGTATCACTTTACCCCAGGACCCATCTCAGGAGCTGTGGTTGCCTGGGGGTAAGGGCGGTCTGGTGGTCGCTGCGGATGTAACGGGCGAGGGACACATAACAACGTATCCGAGTGACCAAGACACGGTCGCCATTACTGCACCTTTTGACGATGGTGTGGTTCCACAGTATGAAGTGATCAACGAAGGGCCGTGTATGGGGCGACAGACGTTCATCTAGTAGACTAGAAATGCGATTTGAATGGAAAGAAGGTGCATGTTGGTTGTACAGTCTATTCGTTGGCTCGATGCAAAGAGAATTGTGGTGTTCCGCTTCCTTCCTCCAACTCCTGGTGCTATACACCTTCATTCATCTCTTATTATACAGCCACTTACTCCTCGTCGGCGAACAGGGCACGGCCAGTCTTGGAGTTGAGGAACTCGTTCCTGATGTCATTGTCAGCGTGCCATTCAACGCATCTTTGCCCATATGTGATCCTGCTGTTCCTGGTAACATCCATTGACTCACCTCTCGATAGCCCACTGCATGGTGCCGTATGCGATAGCCAGAGGGGGGATGAAGTAGAGGACTTGGTTCCTTGAGCGGCGCATGACGTTCCAGAAGCCCTTGCCGATGAAGGTAGCCATGGGGCGCTGTCGGTTGGGGCTCAAGGCGTAGGTGACGACGCCCTTGCCGGGGCGGCCACCGCCCTCGTAGGGGTTACCCCATGAGCCGATGTGCCAACTATGCCACTGTCAGCATGATCTCCTTCCTACTCCGATGGGTGTGCGATGCGAGGCGGGTCGAAGAACGGATTCTTTCGGGGAAGGTGGCCGGGGCTGCGTGCGGGTGGAGCGCGGACGTACGTGGTCTTGGTCTTTGCGAGGGTTTCAGACGGTCCCATAGCCATTTTGACGGTGTGAGAGTTGCGTGTGGAGGTGCAATGCGTGGGCGGCGGCGTTCGCGTTGCTGTCAGAAAGCTGCGAGCGGTGCTGGAATGCCAAGCCTTTTCTGCTAGCACCAATTGCGGCAAGGCGCGGCAAGAGCGAATAACACCAACCTGATTGGCCGCTCACCCCCGATACAACTCTCTCGAACATTCACCTTCCGACGACCGGACTGGAGGAGCTTTCACATGACGGCGACTACCTCGTGATGTATGGACACTTACCCAAGCCTTCAATCACGCCGGCTGCGAATGTTCATACGCGTCTATCGGCCTGGACTGTCGAGGTAACATCGTAAACTCAAACCTGAGTGACATCACAAAAGACAACGGAAACCCTGGCTTGAACTGCGCATCTGGACCTTGAGACTAAGCTGTAGCTGTATCCGACCACAGTTCCGAAAGATCGGCTATCATTGCGTCAGCGACGGCATACCCGCGTTGCAGCACGCTACGAAACAAATCCAAGACCTCGTGCATGTCATGAGCATCCCGGACACGCGCTCCTGCGACTCTCAAAGGAAAAAACAGTAGCACACCCGCAACCCCGTTAGCCAGCAACTCGCGACTCAGGCACAGGATTTGACGCATGTGCCACTCGATCTGGGAGCGAGCTAGGATCGGCGCACATGGTGCCATTGGCTTGGTCCAATGTACGTGGTAGTCGTAAGTACCCGAAAGGTAGATGCTAATGGCGTTGTAGTATATGTGAGCAACAAGAAGTTCTGGGTCTGATGCACCTGATGCATGCTGCCAGCAGTTGCTCACCTCCCACCATTCGTGCAAGGATTGCTGAAGTAGTAAGCCTTCAGCAGCAAGGTATCGTGCACGCTCAGCTTGTACTTCCTCTCGCAGATGCTCTGCTTCAAATTCACAGAATTGGATAGTACGTATGCTCAACTCAGAAACGCTGGGTAACATGTCGAAGAGTGCTTCTTTCGGGTGCCAGAGTGCTGCACCTTCGCCAGTCCAGAGCTCTGCTAGTGCGGTAGTCCACACAGGCTGACTGAGAAAAGTTGGTTCAGAGTAGATCAAGGCCCTCGATATTTCGAATATACGGGCTGAAAGGAAGAAGTTACGCTTCTGTGTATTCCTTTGGTCAGGAAGAGCAAGGCATGAAGGTGGTTGGAGCCGCAGGATTGCGCAAGTCCCGTGCAAGAAGTGCGAGAGCCAGTTGGTCCCGCTGGCATCGCACATTAGCTAAGCCATGTTAGCCGTTGTCACCTCCTATATGGGATTGACGCTTACCTCGAAAAGGCCGAGCAGAAAGGTCGTCCACAGTGTTGATGGATCGTCCGCAATTTTGTTGTGGGTAATGCGGGCTTGGACACTTCTCACGGATCTTACGTAAAGCTGCATCGCGCCCTGGCGTCCTTCAGGGTCTTTGGTCCCCAAAACTTCCCATTGAACCCGTTGGCATCGGTGCAAGGCTGCTACTGCACAGAGAGCATCCCTCAAAGCGACCGAAGAATGCATCATGCTTTGCAACTCCTTTTGCAGTAGTAGACCACCACTGGAAAGAACATTCATCGGTAGGAAGGAGCCGAAAAAGTAAGCCATGTTTTCCTCAGCTCTCCCTGGGCTAATTGGCGATCGTGGCTGAAGCTGCTTCTCGGCTCCTGGGTTGACGAAGACAAAGCTCGAAACTGCCGACCTCGTGGGCACCACACACTCTTGTCTTCTCCCTTTGCAGTAATCGCAAGGAACGCCGCCATTACACTATAACCAATTAGTGCTGCCAGACTTGGTAGGGCTGGATCACTTGCTTTGATCTTGCGCTTAACACAGGCTTCGCACCTTTTCCGTCTAGCCTTACGACCATCATACGGCCCAATGCTGGGTGACATGCGTGGCGCTCGTGCGAAGGTACGTTGTGTAGCGACAAAGGCAGATTGCTAATGCAAGGCAAGCGATGAGGCGTCGTCTATTACAGTATCGGAGATTTGCAGGATGTCGTCAAAAGATGCTTCAGGAAGTGGTATCGCGTCGCCAAAGGACGAAGCATACGAGCAACGGGCCCACTAGAGGCGGTGCCAGCTAACTTGACCGTTTTAGGAAACGAATAAACGCGTCTAGACTTTCTTGGGACTAGATACCAATGGCACCGACAAGCCGCCGGGGAAGATCTCCTCCACTACCCATGTCGGTCGAAAATGCGGCTCTGCTGCACTAGCAAAGACACCAGCGTATAGTCGAATCCACTGTGATGTCCGCTTTTGGTCACGATAGAGCGCCGGAAGAGGGTCGAGCATTCTCATGCACGTAGATGCTTACACCCAGCCAGAACTATAGATACCACTCATACACTCGAAGAACTTGATTTTCAGCACCTTCCTCTGCATTCGCTTCCAACTCTCAGAGATCTCACTTACTATCTCCACCGTCATCGACTACCGAAGTCATGGGACTTCGCACCTCAGTTCTGCTGGTACTTTTGGCATCTTCGCCTGGCCTTACATTTGCCAAAGCTACACTCCCAATCGTCGCCTCTCATCATCAAGATGTGATGATTGCTTCCGCCTCGCTGACCGACCATGCTCGCTCGGATCCGTACGCCAACGACGCCCGGCCTCGATCTATCATGGTATCCGGCTTCTACCCCACTACCCAATGCCGTCGCAAGAAGATCAAACCCTACATGCCTCCCGTGACGGCATCGTTCATGGACACCAAGTTCGGCGCATACGGTCTTCCCAATGGCAGTTTCCAATCACTGAGCCTCGAGACCTGCATGCCTCCGGCCAAACGAGGCGGTTGCTCGAAAGACCTGCCAGTCGTTCTCTTCTCAGGCGCACTCGCTACATCTCGACATCTATACAACGCCATACTCCAGAACATTGCGGCTACTGGTTATGTGGTACTCTCCATTGACCACCCTTACGATGCGGACATGGTGGAGTTCCCGGACGGTACCATAGTGACGGGCGTTGATATCGAGAGCGATGCCGAGATTGAGCTTGCACTCAACACACGAGTTGCAGACATTGAGTTTGTCTCCAAGCAAATGAAGAACGCCTCAGCTATCAAAGAGCTACTTCCAGGATACGCGGGCGCCAAGAATGCACCCAAGATGGCTGTCATCGGACACTCCCTAGGAGGTGCAGCAGCAGCCAGTGCGATGATGTCAATAACCTCACTCAAGGGCGGAGTCAACCTCGACGGCTCCATGTTCGGTTCCGTATTGACAACCGGCTTCAACAGCCCCTTCATGCTAATGGGCCACGAGAACAAAACACAAGAAACAGATCCGTCTTGGAAGACCATCTGGCCAAACCTCACTGGCTGGAAGAAGGAGTTTGAAGTCAAACACTCAGCACACTACAGCTTCTCGGATCTTCCTCTGGTCATCTCTGCGTTGGGTCTGGATGGGAAGTTGCCAGCGCAGGTAGGAGAGCTGCTGGGTTCTATTGAGGGTCGTAGGATGACGGGCCTTACGACTACGTATGTTGCAGCTTTCTTGGATATGGTGTTGAAGGGTGGGAAGGAAGGTGCTTTTGCTAAGGCTGGCGGTCGGTTCACTGAGGTTGAGGAGGTGGCTTAGGCGATGAGGAGGATGTCGCGATTGGAGTTGTGCCTTGGTGTTGGAGGTACAAGGGACGATGTTAGTATTCTATAGTTATGTCGATAGTCCTTAATCATTAAACTGTAGTGGCTTACCGTATCCTGGTATTACATTAGTCCCGACATCAAGTCCTTAAACTCCATGATTCAACATCTTGTGTCGTAACTCCTTACTCCTGTCAATGGCGTCTAGCGTTTGCCTAATTTGGTGTTAGCGCCGTTGCCGTGCACGAATCCCCAGCCGGTCTTCGGCAGAACTTCTTTCACACCACTCGTCTCTAACAGCAACAGCGCCCACCAGCTCACCTCCATAATGAGGCTGCCAAAACCAACCACAAAGCAGCTCAATTCTGGTGCGCGCGTGCCTACTCCAACGACGCATCCGTCCTCCGTCCCCGCTCGCAGCGGATTTGGGAAGAAAAATGCCCAAAGGCACCAAAGGTTGCGTACTTTCGACGATAGACCGCCGCCGTCAAGTCTGGATAGCCAGAAACAAGAACACTTTGACAATGCATCATTCCAGCTGTATTTCGAAGAACGACTGGAAGAGCTAGGAGAAGACCTCAAAGCTTTGACACGCAACTCTCCATACTCACTGCTTGCAAGCTTTTACCGCGACACTAATCCCCTTTGGAACTATAATTGGAAAGATTTGCCCGAAAAGCCTTGGATTTCGGGAACGACATCCGGGGAGACAACTCGTTCTTTATGCCGAGGCCAGTATCACAAGATGGTAAAGGATAAATATCTGCATAGTCGTAGAGACATCGAACAGAAATGCCCTAAGCTACACAGATACCTGGTAGAGTATCATGGCAGTACACGGCAAGCTATCCTTAGCACATTACCACTACGGATAGCTACGGGTGACGCATTGACGACTGCACACCTCCTCGCACACCGGAAATTTGTGAAACGAGCTCTAGACTTGCGCACGACGGCCAAGAACATTTTTCATACTGCGATGTTCATGAACAAGATGCTCAAAGAACTGGAGAATAATCGCGTAGTATCGGCAGCATCACTATTTGACATGGACTACTTCCAGATCAAGGTACAATTTCATTGTAAGAGGGAAAGCCAACGAGAAGCTTTGCGAAATGTGCGTAGGTCAACGCAACATGTACGGTCGACTGTCGAGCCATCCATTTCAGACTCTGGACTTGGCCTGTGGAAACGTATCTCTGCCTTGCCATCACGGTTTCATGGTAGCCATTGGCTTCAGTTGATTCTCAATCCTCGGGAGACTCAAACATCTCAGCCAAGGCACAACTCCGCTTCGACAGAATACAACCGAGCTGGTGCGGCTCGGGTCAAGCCTATTCACCATTTCTACGACCATTTTGCTTTCCTTGACAAGCATTCTCAATTATGGCCAGCTTCTATTCTACGTCTCATGCATTACGAGATGAACAAGATGTTGGGCCGACTGTATGGGCAACGAATACCGAATTTCTTAAACGAACATTATAGGATGACGAAGGCGAGGGCTCATCAAATACCTGTCCCTGTTGTTCACGCGCGTGTCGCGCACTGGATTACAATACGGAAGTTGCAGGCCCAGATTAACATGACTGCAAAGGAGCTGGAGGATATGGTTGACGACCTCTTCGACTTTCAAATCTTCCAATATACCAACACATCTGTCCGGGTATCGCAGGGTTTGATTGACAAGAGTCGTGCTATAGGAATGGAGATGCTGGAACGCGAAGAATCGTGAAGACACTAGGTACATGGAGAAGGCTGCGATCCGAGTTTAACAGGCGGTTTGAGCGCTACAAGAAAGATGTCAAATTTCTACAAATCAGCACATGCATCAACTCCATCTGCTAGAACGAGAACCGCCCTCGTCAGCGTACGTTCTACCGAAGTACTATACACTGTCATGTCGCAGTCTCACCTGGGCATACTAGAGCCCTATATCCTGCGTAGATTCTTGTTCTAGGGCCGCCTACCAAGACATACACATCATTGAGACCGTCATAGCACGTATCAAATGTGACAGTCCATGCCACCTCATGACCGTTGGCGCGTGGTAAGTGTCAAAGACGACTGATCAGAAACGACATGGCCGGATCTTACCGAGATCGTGGGGCACAATCGCATGTACCTGTACTAGCGCAAGCGTATCCACAAAGCTGGCGTTCTCTCCTCATTATATGTCACTGTACCGCACCATATCCATGGACGTGAAGAATGACATACGGAGAGGAGCACGCGCTGTGCCGATGCGAACTGTAAGCAGTGCGGCTACGCGGCACGCCACCAATTTGCTAACCAGCCTCTTGCAGAATACATCGACATTTGAAATCATTAATAAGAACAACAGGAGCGAAAGTGACGTTCGAGGTGCACCACCAGGAGGGCTAGATCCGAGGCTTGCCGTGCGATTAAACGTTCTTCCAGTGGTCCCGATGTTTCTAGCGTGATGACGTCACCCGCAGCTGTCGCGCTACATCTATGATATGGAGTGTATCAGCATCAAGCATCAGAAGGGACCCCAAACAACTTGAGCACTTACTCAAAATCTCAATCATTTCAATCATGGCACCTAAGATCTTCCTGTATGTATATACATTGCAAAGCTGATCCACCTTACTGACGCTTCTTTCCATGCAGCACCGGCGCGACCGGGTACATTGGAGGCGACACCCTCTTTGCGCTGTATGACAAGCACTCTGATTACGAGATTGCGGCTCTTGTGCGGACAGGTACCTATCACCCTCCTCATGATGAATGGGGCATTATGTTGACATTGGTGAAGAGGAAAAAGCAAAGACTGTCACCGAAGCGTTCCCCAAGGTGCGGATCGTCATCGGTGGCTTGGACGACTCCAAAACTCTGGAAGAAGAGGCAGCAAAGGCAGATGTAGTCATTCGTGAGTCACCCATAACCTCCTCAGCCATAGAGTCAACACTAACAATCGCAGACACCGCAGATGCATCCGACCACGAAGGCGCCGCAAAGGCCATCGCAAAGGGCCTAGCATCCGGCCACTCCAAAGAAAAGCCCGGCTTCTGGCTGCACACCGGCGGCACCGGCATTCTCTGCTGGGAAACCATGCGTGACGACAACAAGCTAGGCGAATGGTCAGAACGCGAATACAACGACTGGACCGCCGTGCAAGACCTAACCGGCCTACCAAAAGACGCCTTCCACAAGAACGTCGACGACCTCGTACTTTCCGCCGGTTCCGAATCAGTCAAAACAGCTATCCTCTGCCCACCTACCATCTACGGACGCGGACGAGGCCCATCGAACACCCGAAGCAGACAGGCGTATGAACTTGCCCATTTGATCTTGACCGGCGAATACATCCCCATCATCGGCCAAGGAAAAGCACGCTGGAACAACGTCCACGTCTCGGACCTCGCTCAGCTCTTCGTTCTGCTCACTGAAGCCGCTGTGAACAACAACACCGACGCTAAGCTCTGGAACGAACAGGGGTACTACCTCGTTGAGAACGGCGAGCACCTTTGGGCTGATCTCGCGCGCCTCATGGGTAAGAAGGCGACAGAGCTGGGTCTTGTTAGCAAGAAAGAGTTGAAGGAGCAACAGCTTGGTAAGGACAAGGCGATTGAGCAGGCGGGCTTCGAGGCTGTGAGTTGGGGGTTCAATAGTAGGGGTAAGGCGGAGAGGGCGAAGAAGTTGGTGGGATGGCAGCCGAAGGGACCGAGTATTGAGGATACGGTTGAGGAGATATTGAAGGATGAGAAGGGGAGGTTGGAGAAGAAGTGAGAGGCGTAGTAGCTTATCACTGTTAATTAACTCTTATCTGGCAAGGCTTTAGGATGCGTGCAATCAAACAGCATAGTTAGGCGAACCTGCGCATATCTTGGCCGCATCGATACGATGTTCAGGCTGCGCCACACAATCTTCAGGCCTGATGTTTCACACGCCAGGCAGCAGCAGCTGCACCTGATTGCGCTATCAGATTCCCAAGAGTACAAGTTACGCCGAGGTTTCGTTCCATTTTACATAGGACACGAGCAGACAAAAGTCTCCTCCGTACACTACATTCACTTGAAGCCAGCAGCTCGCACATTTGACCAAGCTCATCAACATGGCGAGTATCGAAAGTCGCCCACTCGGGCAGCAGGCTCTTCGTGGCTTTGGCATCTTCCAAGCCATCGTTTCTATACCGACAATGGTAGTACTGGGCTTCTTTGCATGGGAAAAGATGACATATGCCTGGGAAGAGAACTACTACTACTTCTTGTACGTGCGCCATCTACCCACAGACACATCTCACCAATCCTTTCATACGCAGATGAACTAACGTCTGCAGCGCATCTTCCATAACGGCGCTCATGTCCGCCGGCATTGTGTTCATCGTGTACGTTCAGCGCAAGGCCATTGCGACACCGTTCCAGGCGTTCATGTTCGAGATCGCCAAGTCGGTCCTTGCTACAGGACTATGGCTTTGGCTTATCTTGGACTCTGCGTTTGGCCCAGGTCGGGGTTACTATACAGACCCGAAATATGTGAAGAGACGGGTCCAGCGTGATGCGCTCGCCAGTCTATTGTTGCTGTGAGTTATGAGCCGTCGAAAGAAGTAACCCAGGGCTAACTTCGTGCCGTGTCTTCTTCTATCCGCCGCTTGGGTACGCCTATGTTGTTTGTAGGACGAAGAGTAGCCATGGAGACGTTGAGCGCGTGATCGACGAGGAGGAAGGAGCGGATCGAGCGGAACGATCACCGCTGCTATCGCGAAACAGTGGGAGGGTCCTGGGTTAGCGCTGTGGTGTTAGCTACATGTCTTGAGCACTCCTGTAGATAGACTCTGAGGGCTAGATGTCAGATTTGGAGAGGCAACCAATCCTGATCGCTGGCTAGACCAGTCCTTGCAAGTTGTTGTACGTGCGACCAAATAGCGTAAAGTAAAGGCATTTCTTTTTGGGGTATGGTACAGGTGCCGTTCAAATACTGACTCTTCCATGTAGCCACTCACTGTTCACACGCTACGTTCACCTACGGCTA